TCAATTATTATTTTAAATTCAAATACTGCTAATCAAGTTTCTCATTCCAACCATAAATCGAAAAGATTACAGTTTGTAAATTTACAAAAAAAAAAAGTTTGGTCATCATTAAAAAAAAAATGGATTAAACTAAGAATATCTACAAAAATGATTAAAATTCTTAATAAAAAAAATATTGATTATTTTTTATAATATATTTAGGTTGTATATTTTATTATGAATACTTATATTATAAACATTACAGAATCAGCTTTAGAGCAATTAAACTCTATTAGTAAACTAAATAAGAAAGATAAATTATATATTCGTATTGGAATTAAACAAGGTGGATGTTCTGGCTTATCTTATTTTATGAATTATGAAAAACAATCTAATATAAGCGATAAAGATCTGGTTTATAATTATGATAATTTTACTTTAGTATGTGATAATAAAAGTATTTTATATTTATATGGAATCTCTTTAGATTATAGTTCGTCATTGATAGATGGTGGGTTTAAGTTCTTAAATCCGAATGCAAAGCAAACTTGTGGATGTGGTAAATCTTTTTCGTAAATAACATTAAATTATACCACATTTAATATGTGGTATAATTTGACGATGAAAATTATTATATTATAATTAATAGTGTTAATTTATAATTTTACAACAAATATATTAATGGTTAATTATCATGAAAAACAAAGGTTCAATTTCTAAATTGAAAAATTTTAAATTATTCTGTAAATATTTGCTAATAATGATTAATTTTTCTTTGGGTTCAAAGCTAGTTCCTATACAAAATATTTCTTATAAGAATATTGCTAGGGCTGATTTGTTAGATTATTTAGTTGATAAAAAATATAGCGTTGATTATTCTCTTCTAAAATTAGAAGATTTGATTAATAAAGTTTTAAATAGAAATGAGAATTTAGCGGAGAAGTATAGATATGCGATTGATTTAGAAAGTTATGACAGGATTATAACAGCAAGAGAAAAGAGAGAAGCTTATGAAAATTGGTTTCGCTATCGTAAATATTATCTTTTCTTAGATCGTCTTAGAAAAGGACATATTACTAAATTTGGTGGTTTTGATTTGGAAAAAATGCCTTCTAGTTATTTTAAATTCAATCCTGAAGCTTTAACTCGTTCTAGATCTGAATCTAAAAAATTAATGAAAAAACAATTTGATTATCTTATAAAAAATTATAACTTTCAATTCCCTGATCCATCGTGGTGGCGCTTATTACGCAAGCCAAGGCATTTTCCGTCATTATTCAAAAATTTACGTTCACCTAACTTTCCAACAAAAGCGCAAAAAAATTTAATGAAAGCACTTAATAGTACTTCAGTTTTTGTTGTTACAGATAAAGTTTTAAAAGACATGGTCATAGCTTCTCCTAGTTGGTATAAAGATAGAGATTTTTGTGATAAGTTTCTTGAATGCTATTATAATAATTTTGTTTGGACAAGAGATATTAATTATATACATATGGGATTAATATTTTTTAATCCTAAAGATGCAACTCTATACAAAAATAGTATTATACAAAGAGATAGAATTGGATATAAAATATATGGTGCTCGTCTTTTTAGACTAGCATTAAGTAAAGCATATAAAATGCGAAGTTTAGCACGTCCTAGATTACAAATGATTTTTATACCTGATTATCAAGAACTAACTAAAGTTATAACTAAATATTTAAATGATCCTTATATCGTTACACATCCTAAACAGGAATGTTCTTACAAAAAAAGATATTTCAGAGGTGTGCCTGTATATATGATACACCCATACAATGCAATTATTAAAGGGAAAGTTTTTAAAAACTTAGAATTTACCGCATACACAGATGAAAATTCCATTAAATATCCCGTTGTTTTCTTTTCAAGAAGAGAAGCAGATAAAATGTGGAGAGAATTTATACATTTCTACAGAAAAAATGGGGCTAAAATAGAAGGATCATATCCTAAACTAATTCTATATAATTTAGAAGACTTATTAGTAGATTGTGAAGAAAATGATCTTAATCCATTGTTTATTCCTAATAATAAAATAACTAAAGACTTTTTAATTAATTATTATAATGAATATCCAGAAGAGAATACTTTAGATAAAGTTGAAGAAGAGAACTGGTTAACAGACTTCATGGATGGATTATCTTCTTCTACTAGAAGACTATTTTTTTCTATTAAACAAAGTATAAAAGTAATGATTAATGGTGGTTCACCTTTATCTAAAGAAGAACTAGAAGATGCAATGACTTATGAATTCCCATCAAAAATTAGAGATACAAGATTTAAGAAACAAGTCCTAAAACCACTAGAGCGTGAAGGAAGAAATTTGATGTTTCATTCTTTTATTAGGCGAAAAATGATACGTGATAGATACATAAAAAATTATCCGTATCCTGAATTAATAAGAGAATACATTGATTATATTGTAAATAATAAATATAAGTTTTAACTTTAAATTTTTGAATAGTATTCTACTACTAAGAGTTCATTAATTTCTAAGGCAACCCAAGTACGATCAATTATCGAATTAATTTTGATAATTAGATTATCTTTATTAACTGATAAATGAGGTGGTATATTTAATAAGCCTGGTGATAATAAATTATTTTTTATTAAATTTTTTGATTTTTCATTATTTTTAATAGAAATTATATCACCAGGTTTACATTGATAACTAGGAATATTAACAATGTGATTATTAACTAATATATGTCGATGATTTACAATTTGTCTCGTTGATACTATAGTTGGTCCCATACCCGCTCTAAACAGAATGTTATCTAGTCGCATTTCTAATAGTTGGAGTAAAGATATTCCTGTTGATCCTCTTATTTTTTTAGATTCTTTTATATAATTTAATAATTTATTTTCGCTTAAACCGTAATTATAACGTAATTTTTGTTTTTCTTGTAATCTAATAGCAAATTCAGAGAATTTTTTGATTTTTTTTCCTTGTTCTCCTGGCAAGTTTTTTTTATTTATTTTTTTTCTGCTTAAGCCTGGTAAATTCCCTAGTTTTCTAACAATTTTTAATTTTGGTCCAGTATATTTTGACATTTTATATTCCTATTTAATTGTGATATAAACTTCTATTTTTACTTTTTTATTTTTAATTTAATAACAAATAATTAAGAAATGACTAATAATATATAATTATATATCTTAATATCTTATCTTATAAGATAAGCTGATGTAGCTCAACTGGTAGAGCAACTGATTTGTAATTAGTAGGTTATGGGTTCAAGTCCCTTCATCAGCTTTGTTTATTATTTATTTTTAAGTCAAACCAAAATGTTGTGCCAATCATATATTCACTATGTAAAAAAATTTCACTATCGTGGTTTTTTATAATGTTTTTTACTAGAGACAATCCTAGTCCTGTACCTTTTATCGTATGTATTTTATTTTCTATTTTTATAAATTTTTCGAATATATAATTGTAATTATTTTTTGCTATTCCTATACCTGAATCTGATATTTCAATTCTTATTTGTTTATTATAAATATTTTTTTCTTTCCAAATCTCGCCTGTTATACTTGTATCTATCTCAATAAGGTAAATTCGTATTCCAACATTTCCCTTGTTAAAAGTAAATTTTAGACTATTACTAACTAAATTAATTAATATTTGGAAAAATAAATCATAATTTGTATATACTAAAGGCAAATTAGTGAATTTCTCAAGGAAAAATGTAATTTTTTTTTTTCTTATAATTATGTAATTAAGATTAACAATTTCATATAATATTTCATTAATGTTAATAAATGAAAATATATATATTTTTTTTGTTTCTAATGAAGATAAGTCCAATAAATCATTAATTAATCTATTTAGACGATTAGTTTCCTTTATAATAATTTTTAGAAACTCTAAATGTTCATGATAATCCAATGTATCATAAAATTCATATAAAGTTTCGATAAATGATTTAATATTAAATAATGGTGTTTTTAATTCATGTGAAATATTACTTATAAAAGTATCTTTTACTTCATTTATATTTTTATGTTGTTTTTTTAGACTATTTAAATTCATATTAACATATATATTCATTATAATTTATAATGGTAAAAACATAATATTTTACCTTTAAAGGGTGGTTAGCTCAGAGGTAGAGCTTCTGCCTTACAAGCAGAAAGTCACTGGTTCAAATCCAGTACCACCTAATTTCAAATTTGGGCTTATCGTCTAATGGATTAGGACAGAGACCTTCTAAGTCTCTAATGTAGGTTCGAATCCTACTAAGCCTGTTTAGTTAAAAATTACTTAAATACTTTTTCAAATGTTTCTTCTATTCTTTTACCTGAGTCTATAGAATCTAATGGATCTTTTTTTAATCTATGTCTTAAAGCTAAAGTAGATACTTTTTGTATATCTTTTATTAGAACTTGATCTCTTTCTTCGTAAGCAGCTAGTGCTTTAGCTGAACGATTTATAACTATATCCCCTCTTAGGCCATCAATATCCAACAAACTACATAATTCAGAAATTTTTAATTGTAGATTTTTATCTATTGTTATGTTAAATAAGTTATTTTGTGCTTTTATAATTTTTTGTCTTATCTTTTCTTGTGCTTCTTCATAAGATTGAATATATTTTTTGTAATCTTTTTCAAATAGAGATCTTTCTTCAACAATTTTTACTCTTAAAACTGGATCTTTTACTGTTCTTATTTCTGCATGTAATCCAAATCTATCTAGTAATTGAGGTCTTAATTCACCTTCTTCTGGATTACCAGAACCTACTAATACAAAATTAGATGGATGTTTAATTGAAATTCCTTCTCTCTCAACTATGTTCCAACCTGAAGCTGCAGCATCTAGAAGTATATCTACTAAATGATCATCTAATAAATTTACTTCATCAACATATAAAATGCCTCTATTTGCTTTAGCTAATAAACCAGGCTCGAAAGATTTAATGCCTTCAAATAAGGCTTTTTCTATGTCTAAAGTTCCACATACTCTATCTTCAGTGGCACCTAATGGTAATTCAATCATAGGAACCTTAATATAACTTATACTTATGTTGTTTTGTATAACATTTTCTTCCGTATATAATTCTTCTGGTGACCTGTTATAAATATCACCATTTATAATAGCTATTTTGGGCAATAAATCAGCTAAGGCTCTAATTGTTGTTGATTTACCAGTGCCTCTATCTCCCATAATCATAACACCTCCAATTTTGGGGTCTATTACATTTAATATTAGTGCAAGTTTCATCTCTTCTTGGCCAATAATAGCTGAAAAAGGAAAGATTTTTTTTTCTATTGTCTCGATAACTTTATTAATGTTTGTTGTCATAGTCTTATGATTTATTTAAAAAATATATTAAATTTAAATTTAAAATTATATTTCTTAAAGTTAATTACAAAAAGAAAATTAATATTTGTATATTATTCTAGTTTTAATTAAAACTAGAATAATATACAAATATTAATTTTCTTTTTGTAATTAACTTAACTCCCTAGCTAATTTTAAAGCTAAAACAGCTGGTACAAGTGATAGAATAAGAGCTATAAAAATTTGGCTGTCGTTGATCATTTTATTAAATCCTCATCAATTTATTAAATTTAATGTTAATTATTATAATTATATATGTTAAAATTTATTTTTTATATGAAAAGGTGTTAAACCTCTTATCTTATTGGATTCATTTTCAATAGAATTTAATAAAAAACTATAAAATATATTTGCATATTCATTCTCATTTGCAAATTGTTTTATTTTTTCTAGTGCATCATTAAAATATAATCCTGATTTATATAATGTGTTATATACATTTTGAATATATGTATACTCTTTATTCGCATAAATATTTGCACGTTTTAATCCAACAATATTGAGAGATCTAACTAGTGCCGGATTTCCTTCTGCTACTACAAATGGAGGAACATTTTTTATAATCCTACTCATTCCTCCAATCATTGCGAAACTACCTATTTCTACAAATTGATGTACGCCAGATAAACCACCAATAACTACTTTATAATTGATTTTTACATGTCCAGCTAATGAGACAGCATTTGCAATTATAACATTATTATCTATTTGACAATTATGAGCAACATGAACATAGGCCATTAATAGATTGTTATTTTTTATTTCGGTTATCTCATTTTCATTGGTAGGTCTATGTATAGTTGCATATTCTCTAATTGTATTATTATCACCAATTTTTGTTAATCCCATTGATTTACCATCATATTTTAAATCTTGAGGTTCTAAACCAATTGATGATCCAAAATATATTTTATTATTATGACCAATATATGTATTACCATCAATTATAACATGTGCGCCAATTGTTGTATTAGAGCGAATTGTGACATTTTCTCCTACAATTGAATAAGGACCAATTATAACATTATTATCTATATTGGCTTTAAAATGAACTATAGCCGTAGGATGAATAAAACACATTTTATATTCCTTTACAAGAATTTAATTCTAAAAAAAAAAAAAAAAATAGAATGAAAAATTAAGATTATATAATAGTATTTTATAGTAAAATTTATTAACTTAGCACTTGACAAATAATAAAAGATCTATAATATGAATCAAGATAGAAAATAAGAACAAACAAAAAGATCTTATCTGAATCAAGAGGAAAAAAGAACAAATTATTAACTAGTATTGAAAAATAATGGAGAGTTTGATCCTGGCTCAGGATTAACGCTGGCGGTATGCCTAACACATGCTAGTCGTACGAGAATTTTATTCTATTGGCGGACGGGCGAGTAACACGTGAGAATCTACCCCTAGGAGGGGGATAACAGTTGGAAACGATTGCTCAAACCCCATATGCCATTATTGGTGAAAAAAATTTATCTGCCTG